CTTGTAAATACTCTTGTCCCTCCTCCAAGGAGATGTCAAATTGTTCTAAGTAGGCAAATGTCCTAATTCGGATTCTCAGTTTTCAGAAAGTAGTATCAATCAAACCCTCCTCAGCTTATTTATTAATTAGGGCATGTGGTTGTACATATTAATGGAAAAAAGACAGTTTGAAGTCCTAATGATCCCATTAAGTGAAATCTTGAACTCTTCACCTGTGACTTAGTGAGAATTTAGTGAATATCTGTTGAACCCATAAATGGTTGGGTGAATCTTAAAAGATAAGCAAGTCTTCTTGCTGTTCTGTGAAATTATGGATTTCCTAGCCTAATTTTTCTTGTCATATTTCTCTGTTAGCTGTCAATGAGCCCCGCTGTCTGTGGCCCTATTTAAGTTGCATTTTTAAAATAAATTTATTTATTTAATTTTTTTTTTTTTTTTTGGCTGTGTTGGGTCTTCATTGCTGCATGCAGGCTTTCTCTAGTTGTGGTGAGTGGGAGCTACTCTTCGTTGTGGTACGCGGGCTTCTCATTGCGGTGGCTTCTCTTCTTGCAGAGCACGGGCGCTAGGTACACAGGCTTCAGTAGTTGTGGTTTGCGGGCTCTAGAGCGCAGGCTCAGTAGTTGTGGCGCACAGGCTCAGTTGCTCCGCAGCATGTGGGGTCTTCCCCGACCAGGGCTCAAACCCGTGTCCCCTGCATTGGCAGGCGGATTCTTAACCACTGTGCCACCAGGGAAGCCCTTGAATTGCATTTTTGTGTGCCCTCAGTAACTTTGTTCTTGGTATGGTTCCTAATGGCAGCAGAGTATATGCTACCCAAAATATACCATGCTGGTATAAGGATTTTGAACTGAAGTCTATTTAGAAAAAGTAGATATAAGAAAATCTCTCCCTATTTACCTAAAACCAGCACATAAATGTGTAGAGGTGTTCCTCTCTCTTCTCTACCAGAAGGGACAGAAGTTAGGGACAGAAGTTAATCACTGGAGACAACTCTAGACCATTCTAAACCCAGAGACCTCACCAGCAGAACCTACATTAAAAAACATTACTAATTAGACCTTATCCTCCATTCGTTTTCCCCATATATTTACTTTCCCACAATTTACCACCCCAGAAGCTCAAAACCCTTTCCCTCTATCTTGTAACTTCTCTACAAATTTATTCTTTGTTAAGATGCTATTTAAGCCCAAGTTCTAGCCACCCCTCGGAGTTACTCATCCCTGAGTACTCCTGTGTGTATGTACACCACGCATGTTAATACACTTCTGTTTGTTTTTCTCTTGTTAATCTCTCTTTCATCATTCTAATTTTAGGGCCCTAGTCAATGAACCTAAGATGGATAGAGGAAAGTTTATTTTTCTCTCCTACCATTTCTAATAAACACCTACAAATCAAGAGGGAGCGTCTCAAAGCATAAGAAAATAAGAGCTTCAATTACCAGAAGTCCCTTTATACTAAAAAGACAAAGATAACTGTAATGTGAGAGATATAGCAATATTAATAACTCTCTCTCTCTCCCTCCCTTACACTTGAAACCAAGTATAACTAAGTAAGGAAGCCATAATAGGGATGGAAGGTGCTCACTTCTGAACTGCTCCCTCCTGGCAAGTGGAACCAATTCTGTCCTTTGGTACACATTGCTGATTGCCTACCCAATAGCCATTTACTCTTTCTTAATTAATAACAAAATCCTAAAGTTTTTCCTGGATGGCAATTTTCTGAAGTTGAATGCCAAGTTTCCCAGTCTCCCTTGAAAGTAGGGGTGGCTAGTGAGATGTCAGTGAAAGTCACTCATTGAATAGGCAAAGCACCCTTTGCCCTCCTTTGCCCCTTTGTCTTCTTGCTGGTTGGACTGTGGACAAAACCATATGAGGTCTAGCAGCCATATGGAAGCCATGATGCATCCACGAGAATGAAGTCACTGCTGAGAAGAGAAGAAAGAGAGAGACACTGAGTTCTTGGTGACTCTGCCATGTCAGCCCTGGACTCCCTACTTCTAGATGCCTTTTATGTTGGAGAAAAATGGACCTTCATGTGTTTAAGCCACTGCAGTCACACTTACGTTAGCAGCAGCTGCAGCATTTAGTAAATGACGGATTTCGTTTATGGAAGTGTGAGGGGAGAGAGGGCGATGTTTGTCGATCTAACATGTGGGCTAAGGCTTAGCACTGAACAGGCATCACTGCCCCACAGCCTAGAGCAGTGCCTTTCACTCCCAAGCTCCACTGGAAAGTTCTTCGCGGACTTGGTGTCTGTCACTTACCTCTGTGTTCTCCTACCTGTTTAGAATGTAGGAGAATGTGTAGTTTATTGTAGTTTATCAAGAGTAGTTTATTCTTTTCTCCAAAACTACGTCACCACCAAATTATTACATAATTCTGTTTGGTATCTGACGATACTTTCATATTTCTAGTTATAACTAATTGTAGGTTATAAACGTAGATCCAAATTAGAGTCATGGATTTAGGAGTCAAACATGTGGTTGTTGGAGCCGTGGGAGCTGGAAAGGCGTCCCAGGAAGAGCCAAAAGGAGAAGTAGACCAAAGACTGAACCCAGAGGAATCCTGACTTTAATAATGCTTCCTAGAGAGAAAATTTCACTTGCTGAAAGTCAAAATGTCCTGATGTCATGAGGTGACAGAATGTTGCTGTTGTGGCAGAGGGACCCACTTTAGGACATCTGACACAGAGCGTCAAATCATGTTTTTCACTTACTGTAAAGCAGAAGCCCCCAAACCTGTCCCTATTTGTTGACCATTTATGAACCAGCAGCTTCTCAACACCAACCTAGAAGGGTATGGGTCAACTAAGGATGACCCATCCTTAGTTTGTGAGAGAGGTGAATGGCTTCATAATTTATGAAATGTTGTCTTTTATGTGGGAGAAATAAATGGCTCTTACTGGCTATTACAAGAACCAGGAAAAGAGCCTCTGAGTTTTTGTCATTTCAGATCTTCAGTGACAAAGGGTTCCAAGCCCGTGTCTCATTAAGTCATACTTATGCTTTCACCTCTAGTTACCCCAATGCCAATATGGGATGAATGTAAATAAAGTTATTCTTAGGCTTTAATGAACTTATTTCATAATTATTCCTTTCCACTCACATCCTTATGGTTTTGCTTTGTCCCTTATTTCCACTCATTTATACTAATGGTAATTTTTTCCTTTATGCATATCAAATTATATTTATCCTTATTGTTCCTTATTCTTGACTCTTACTAATATCCCCAGGTCTCCACATGCCTAGACCTAGATAGTCCTCTGGAGGGTAGAGTTCAGCTAAGTCCAGAGGACTGACTAGCAGTGGGTTCTGCATGGCATTAACACAATTGCAGTAAGTGAGTTAATATATGTCAGGCACCTTAAACAGTGCCCAGACATAGAGTGCTCAATAAAGGTTAAGTATCATTTTTATCATAATCCAGATAGAATCCAAGTATTGGATTTTTCTACCTTCACAAACGCCCCCCCTTTAGCATATTTGGAGAAAATAAGTTTTATTGCACGTTTCCTCCTTAGTCAGTTCCTTGCTGCCGGTGCTTCTCTGTGCTGTTCTCGGCTGTATCTCAGGATGCCTTGCTTCTGACCATGACCTGGAACACTTGAACTACCTTTCTTCTCAGTACGATGCTGCCACTTCTAACAAGTTTCAGCAGAGAGATAAATGTGAGAAAGGTCTTACACCTCTTGTTTCCTCGTTTCTCATACCAATATACACTGTGCAGCTCTCCAATTTTATGGGTGAGTTGGAAAAATATAAGCAAAGCAAAATATATAGACTGAGTACTTTATATGACTCTTCGGTATCCAAAAGTACCAAATGCTCTTTACAGATGATCTCATGGACACCCCAAGTTCTAGTCTTTACACAGAAAGGGTCCCATTCTTCTGACCCCACCATGAGTCTCCATTCTCCCGTCTTTCCATGTGGGTTGGTTTGGCCCTAAGTTCACTTTCCTGCCAACACACAGGGAAGTTTATGAGGGTGTACTCCTCAAAATCTGAGCTATCCATTATAGAATAGCAGAATCTTCAACAGAGTAGTACGGAGCAGTCTTTGGCACTCAAGATCAGGATTGCTTCCAAGGCTTCCTGCAAGTGGAAAGTGTAATGTGACTCCTCTTTCTTCCTGATTCTCTAATAGTTAACTATAATACACACACACATACATACACACAGTCTCAGAGACAGTAATATCTAAATCTATTGTAAATAATAAAAGAATTCTCCTAAATGCCTATAATATGCACAGTATCTCAGGCAGGATAGAGGTAGCAGTTAACATAACCTTGTAAATCCATGGAATTTCTCCCTTATTCTTTTGCTTTCAGCCTTAGAGCCCAGGGCCCAAGAATTTGGCTCAGTTATAAACTACCTACCCCATGGTTACCAATCCATGGCCTAAGAGTTTTGAAACTTTGAAAAGAAAGATTTTAGGTTTGACTTATCTTTACGTTTCAGGCCATGTAGAGAACTCTTAAGTGAGGCTTTCTCTTGTGTGTACATGGATGCATATGAAAGGGATGATTTACAATCTTCCTAGCCAAGCAACCTCTCTAAGAGTTGGGAGACTTACCTTACCTATGGCCCAAGGTATATCTACCTTTCATCTTTGGTAAGCCTGCTCCCATAACTGAAGAAAAAAATAAATTCACTCTCCTGGACCTTCATACCACCACCTGCCCCATCTCCCAGCCAGAAAAGTTGCTTGGACAAACCCATTTAGCCTACCAAGAAAAGGATGGAAGGCATAGAGCCTCATCTTGCTCATCTCTTGGACCTAGTATAGAGTCCAGTAAATAATAGGCACTTAATAGATGCTAAATTGCATACAGTGAACCAGTATAAACCTCAAAAAAAGTATAAGCAAGGGATGTGTGATTTTTTTAAGTAGAGAGAACACCCCCCTTAAGGAAAAAAGATTAAAATTCTTACACCTGTAGATAAAAAGATTCTTGAGTATGATGCTTACCGGTACATAACTGATGCAAACAGAACCATCAGAAGAGCACTCTCTCCAGGGTTTTTCTCAGAGCAATTTTAACATCCTTATTCCTCAAACTGTAGATCAGAGGGTAAGCATGGGAACCACACTGGTGTAGAAGACTGAGGCAAATTTACTGTGGTCCATAGATCCAGGAAGAGAGGTTTTCAAATAGGTGAATGCCCCTGACCCAAAGAACAGAGTCACAGCAACTTGGGAGCCACATGTGCTAAAGGCTTTGGACCTGCCCTCAGTGGAAGGAATACGGAGGATACTGGAGAGAGTCAAAGCGTGAGATGAATATACTGATAAGGGGTATTGTGATGACCACGCCAACAACAATCAAAAACACCAGCTCATTGATGTGGACGCTGGTGCGGGAGAGCTGCAAGAGGGGGAGGGCTTCACACAGGTAATGTCCAACGATGTTGGAATCATGGAAGGTCAGTCTCAGTATGCTTCTGGTGTGGGCCATGGCCCCAGAAAACCCTATCACATACGAACCGAACATCATCAGAGAACAGACATGAGGCGACGCGGTGACCATGTACAGCAGAGGATTGCAGATAGCTACATAGCAAACATAAGCCATCGATACCAACACACCGCACTCAGAATTGACAAAGAAACAGAAGAAAAATAGTTGAGTCATGCATCCCGCATAAGAAATGAAGTTTTCTGACACAAAATCATTCAGCATTTGGGGGGTAAACACACAGGAAAAACAGAGATCTATAAAAGACAAGTTGAAGAGGAAAAAGTACATAGGAATGTGAAGGCTAGAATTCAGCCCAGTTAAGGTGATCAAGCCCAAGTTGCCCACCACAGTAAACACATAGATCCCTAAGAATAGTAGGAAGCGGGGGAGCTGCAGCTCTAATTGTTCTGATAATCCCACAAGGATAGACTCAGTCACTGAGGAGCTGTTTCTCAGAGCCATTCTCTTCTGGGGAGCTGTCTGTGGAAACAAGGGGCAAAATACATAGACTGGTTATAGGCACAAGCATGGCTGATGGAAGAAAGGTCTAGAAGATGAGCCAGTGCATGGCTTTGTGCCTTTCTTCTCTCATCTATGCCCCCCCCCAAGCTATTGACAATGTGTCTGTGACTATATCTCAGCTCCCCTGGGTTGATCGTGAATCCAAGCTAGAGTCTGTTAGCATGGGCAGCAAGAGTTCTGTCCCCACCTGGGAGATGAGGGGATGGAGCCCCTGAATCGGCCGCCCAGCGGCTCTCAGAAAGACCTTCCAAGAGCCAGCAGGAGAACAACCCGAGCCCACTGCCTCAGGCTCAGAGACAGGAGCTCTCCTGTCGCCATTGTCTCCATTCATCCTGCCTCCCTCTCCCAACTAGATACGGGGTTCCCGCCATGGGGAGAAAGCCAAGAGTGTCCCCTCTGTTTGCACCTTCTACCTTCCTCCTCTCAGTCCCTTCACTGCATTTTACACCAGAGTCAGTGTTAAGAGTAGGGAAGGGCTCAATACATCCCAGACCCCTTATTTGTGAGTTTAAAAGAAAGCCATCAGGAAAAATGGGAGTCAGACATTCACCTTCCTCCTCCTTGCCCCCCAAAGTCCTGGGCCCTATGCAATCTCTTTTTCCATTATCTCAAAGGAGAAAATGGTGTTAGTGCATAAAGAAGACAGCCTCAAGTTTTAACTCTTCTGATTCCGTTGGTGCTGAGAATCAGAGCTTTTACAGACCCCAGTCTCCAAGGTGCTCTAGGAACAGACCAAGATTTCTGTTTGTGGATTTTCCCAGATGGTATATACATCAACTTTAGGAGAAAAAAAACAGCAACACTCATTTTCACCAGCACCCCAGCTGGCATATCATGAAGAACTTTATGCTACTTGATGATCTCAGGGATCTGATTAGGTACAGTTTCAACCCCCTGGGAATTTCTCAGAGATGTGTCCCTACAGGGAAGAAATTGTTTACAGCCTGGATGATGAAGTTTACCTAGCATCTTGGGACTCAGGTGTTCTACTCAAACTTCTCATCATTTCCAAGGACTTCATGTTGTTTAGTGTTGAATTGGAGGGGGGACCCTCAGTTTTCCTATCCTTCATTAAAGCTTGGCACTTACACTTGACATTAAGAGAGGATGATCCCAAACTAATTTCAGCCACTATTTCTAAATTTTGAAAGGGAGTTTTGAGAATAGGACAAAAAAAAAGTTAGGTCAGACTTGTAGGTGATATGGAAAGCACCTCAGACAAAATGTTTCTAGCACCATGAGCTGCTCAGAAGAGTGGAGACACCCCCCGCCCCAAACACCACCTACCCTCAGCTCTACTAAGGGCCATAGGCCAGCTTTTACTATATATGAGGAGATTAAAATATCACATCACATATGCATAGAAGCACACACACACACACACACACACACACGCCCCTTTACAAAGTTACTCGATGGATGTGTGCAGGCTAAGGTATTAACAGGAGATGTACCTAAAGGTTTTAATCCTGTCATCCTTCAGATGACAAAATTGTTCTCCATGTGATCTGCTACATGAATATTCTAAGAAATATTCAAAGATATGTGAGCAACTACATTTGTAAGTTTCCACTGAAGCTGCCTAAAATAATCCCAGATTGCTTGGAACAGTCCTGATTTACATCCATTATCCCTGTATAATTATTAATAGCAAACCTTCTCACTCTCAAAAGTGTCTGGATTTGGATAACAAATTACATGGTCACCCTACTAAAAAGAGCATAAGCAGCTATTCAGGTCCTCTGGCTCCTGCTGTCTCCTAGACCCACTGACTTCTATCCACTTTCTGACCAAGGGAGTCTCTCTGTCCTTCACCCTCCTTCCCTTGAGAGTTCTCCTTCCCTGAACCTACTCTTCCTGGCCAACCAGCACTATCTCATCAGTAGATTTTGGCTTAAAAGTGGGAAGGCATTAACTTCGGGCTGCTTCTGATTTATACCTAGCAAAAAACCCTAAAGCAAATGAAGTTAAAACCGTAGTTACCTGCCTGAAGTATGTGGAAGGGGAATGGGGGAGAAGAATTACATAGGAACAAGGAATAAAACATTGGTACAATTCTATATTGCAGTCATTGGTACCATGGTATAATATTGTTGTATATTGCTGTATATGGTACAATACATTGATTAGTAGTATTTAACAAACTTGGACATATACATACATTTTGACCCAGCAGTTATACTCCTAGATGTATACCAAATAAAAATAAGTATACACATGTATACCCTAAAAACGTGCCAAAAAGTTTCATGAAAGTTAAACAGATAAACGTCACAAACCTATTATGGAACAAAAGAAGCCACAGACAAAAGAAGGCATACTTTATGATTCTATTTATATGAAGTTCAAAGGCAAGGAAACTAATCTTTGATGTTAGAAGTCAGATAGCAGTTATTCATGGTTGGTCAGTTGGGGGCTAGTGACTGGAAAGGTCTATAAAGGGTGCTTCAGGATTGCTGACAATGTCCTGTTTCTGACAGGGGTGCTGGTTACATGGATGTGTTCAGTTTGTGAAAATTCATCAAACTATGTTCTTATGTTACCCTTCAATTAAAAGTTTACTTAAAACATAAATGGAGAACAAAAACAAATGAATATCTTAATAAATCATCCTGCGGAATTACTTTAACACTAAAATTACTAAACACCTTTGAGGCATAATTCCCTAATTTATAAAATGGAGATTTACTAACCTACCAACTTTCAGTATGATAACACATGCAAAAGTCCCTTTTTTATTTCTCATCTATCTTATTTCTCTTAAAACCCCCTTTTGTTTCTCATATAAAAGGGAGGAAATCAAGAGGAAAAGGAATTAATGCATATGGAGCAACTGCAGAGCACCTGGCATTATGCTGGATGTTTTCTATGTATTATGTTTATAACAACTAGACAATGTGCATGTGTGGCAGATTATTCTTTCCAAAGATGTCCATTCCAGCATACACATACATACATACATACATGCATCTTACATCCCACATGCTCTTGGTACAATGAAACTAACACTCCTCCCATAAAGAGATGGTGTCTGTGCTTTCTAACCTTGCATCTAGGCAGGGACTTGGGATTTCTTAAACCAAGAGTATGATAGAAGTGATGCTTTGTGACTCAGTCATGAAAGAATACAGCTTTCCCTTTCTCTCTCTCTCTCCCCCTTCCCCCCTCCTTCTCTCTTTCTCCCTCCCTTCCTTTCTCCCTCCCTCTCTCTCTCTCTCTGTACTCGTATTCCTCTTTTGTCATCCCCAGCATCTCAGTCATATTGGAACACTCTGGCTTTGTCTCCAAAAACACCACAAAGCAGAAAGTTTATGGCAGTTTATCCAATGTTGAGGGAGAGCAGAAGCCCTCTAGGGACCAGGACAGTTTCTAGTACAGGTCAGGATTACTTGGTCTGATTCCCCCTCACTACTCAGAGAAATCTTTTTCCAGTTCCATATTTAGATGATGTTTTTGAGGTTTATTTTTGTGAAGAAAATAGTTATTTCTTTCTAGTACATAATTTCTTACCCACTGCACTTCCCCCTCTTAAATAACAGGTTAGCAGATGTGTAGCAATGACCCAGCAATGGAAGAGTAAGAAAGAATTATCTCTGTTCATTAGAGTAGAAGTCAGTGTATTCATTTATTCATCATCCAATAAGTATTAAGGTTAGCTATTTCCAGCAATCTTGCAAACTTTATATTCAGAAAAATCTCTCCTGATATAACAAAACCAAGAATTTAGAATAAAATATAAAAATCATCTACTTGTTAATTTTTGAACTGGCAGAAACTAAGTGAATTCCTATGAGAGAAAAAGAGAAAAAATAAGGAAGTAATAATCCAGAGGGGTGCACAAACACTGAACCTGGGGTTTGCCCTTGGGGAACTAGTAGATGCCCTGTGGCCCAGAGTCAGAGTTTAATTGGGTTGCCTATGCAGGACAGAAGAGATAAAGCCTGGGAATCAAGCAGGTTGGGAGTTTGGAACCTATTGATGCATAATACTAGATCCCCAAAGGGAAACATCTTCCATGGCTTAACTAGAGGAAGAGAAAAGCTCACACAGGAATAGGGCACAGATATGTATCTGTCTTGGCCTTGGCTCTAGAAGGGCAGAAAAAGAGATAAAGTATCCCCTGAAAAGTTCTAACCACCTCTGTGTTTTAGGTGGAAAATTCATATTACATATATAACCAAAAAAAAAATCCTTCTTGGAAAAATACAGTTTAAATCAAGATATCAAAGACTTTCCCCAGATAAATATCCAAGGATCATAAGCTCTTAATGAAAACCACTAAACAAACACAAAATAAGCCACCAGGATGAGAATCACCATAAATGAAAAATCACAATCTATACAACCAGACCTGCAAAACTATTAGGCTTATCAGGGACAGAATACAAAAAAAATGTACTTGATGTATTCAAAGGAAAAAAAAAACAAATTGAAAGTATAATGAAGGAAAAAACAAAATTGACAAGGCATATTTTTTTAAAGACTCAAATAGAACTTTATTTATTTATTTGCCACACTGCGCAGCTTGTGGGATCTTAGTTCCTGAACCAGGGAATTCCCTTAAATAGTACTTTTAGAAATAAAAGCATGATTGTTAAAATTAGCAACTCTATGAATATGTTAAACAGCCTATTAGACACAGGTAAAGAGAAAATAAGTAACTTGGAGAGGAGAAATTATCCAGAAGTCAACATCAGCTAGGGGGATGGGGAAATAAATATCATTTAGAAATATAACCCAAGCAATGTAGAAGTAAAGAAGGTCCGACAGATATATAGAGAGCATTTATCACATTCTAGGCCCTGTGTTTTGCACTAAAAATAAAGCAACAGCGGAAACAGACGTACATAGTCCCTGTTCTTTCAAACATGTAATTTGTATGGGGAAACCTAGAAAAAACAGATACTTCTAATAATCAATTAGAAATACAGTAAGTGTGCCAG